ACTTTAGAGGACAGCTTGACATTGTTTACTTTTAAAACTATCTACCTTATAATTAAACAAGTTTCATGTGTATTTATCCTAGCACATGCACTTAAGCAGGGATATACGATGATATTTATTACAAAATCTGCAATAACAACAAACAAATTATTAATATGAGAATTGCCAAATGAACTGTGGTCTATCAATTTTCAAAATCTTGTGCAGGTATTAAAGGAAAGAGGTTACACTAGATGTAGTCAGTGAGCAGACTCATGCTCCCTCATTTTAAGTCCTCTTTTTATATAACAGATTGAATAGCTAAAAGCTGCATCTCCACAGCTCCTGAGCATCCTGGCTACACATTACATTTTTCTAGTTAGATAAGACTGAGAAGGGAGGAGGTCACAGGCTTTCTAAGGCAAAAATGAAGTTGCTTTTGGACTCACCAGTAAAAAGTCATCAAGATGTGGTGTTTCTGCAGTGGGCTCTCTTGTCCGTTCTCTGGCTTCCTGGAGCTAAGAAACAACTTAGAGTAAGCTGAGTCCAGTCTAGTAAATGGGTGACAGGTCCAGCCCTTCCTACAACTTTTTAGATGTTTTCAGATACCTGTTTAACATGTCTTGCTGGGAACCTGACTGTTAGTTACAGATTTGACCATTTAGAGAAAGATTTCAAGGAAAATTATTGAGTAAATATGAGATGCAGAATGACAATTCCACATGGTATCTTTAAATGTAAAACAAAGACTTACACTGCATTTTTTAAATGAGTACTAATATATGTATTTAAAATTATGTATTTATACATGAAAAGACCTAGAAGGAATCACAAAATGAGGATTACTCTGAAGAAAAAAGAAATATAGTCAAACTGAAAGTGACAAATAAACTTTAGCCTGATTTACTATAGGTTCATTTTCTTTATGGCGATATGTGTTAACATATTCCTTATGTAATTTAGAAAAATGTAAATATATATGTCACCCTAAAAACTTGTCTTCTATAGGGATTTGAATGCATGAAAAGATAAAATAGACAATAAAATATAGATTCTTGGAGACTCAGGGTCAAATTAATATTAGCTCAAAACTTCATTGCCTTTGTAGGACATTCTTGGATGATATGGTTCCTTAACTACAATGAGCACAAATCCATGAGAATATAGTGGGCAAAAAGCTTTACAAATGTGTGACCTAACTTTCAAAGTGCAAATAGAAGTCCATTAGAAAAAAGTCAGAAGAGAGCACTCCAAAAAGAGTAAACCATTTGCAAAGAGACAGAATAGCACCTTTCCAAAACCTCTAACAGTGTGGTTGGAACATGTTTTGTACAAGGAGATAATGAAGAGAAACATACAAAAGTAGCACCCAGATTGATTTCATTTAATTAGGTATAGCAACCACACCCTCCGAGCCAATTACTGAAGAATTCCAGAAACACAGGGATGGAAAAGAGCCCTTGAGCAGCTCACAGTCTAAAAGGAGATTCTGATGCATAAAGAGATAATTTTTACAACTGGAAATGCAAAAGTACATGCCCTGGGCAACTGGGAACATCTGCCTAAGAATGTGAGGGAGTATTTCCTGGTGAAGGTGACATCTGAGTTGGGCTTTAAAAATAAGAAGAGTGAGTTGAGTGAGTTTTTATGGATTTGCAAATCAGAATAGAAAGTTGAGGGGGTTTTTTGGTTTTCTTCTCTAAAAGAGTTGAGGCAGGGGCAAAGGTAAAACAGGATTCTAAGCAGGAGAAGGAAGTCTCCCAGAGGAACTGTTTACTGGGTCCCTTGCCTTCTAAACATTGCCAGTAGGCTGCATCAGTAATATGTAGCAAAGCCAACAGTTCAGGTATTGGACTGCACTTTCTTTAAAAAGAAGCTGGGTTTCTTGAGCATACCTCTATGTATCTCTCTGGCCATTATTTTTTCTGCTTTGATTGTTGCTTATCTTGGTGTTTTGCTCTTTTCTCTTTCACCAAATGGCTGGGAAGAGTATCGTGAAAACAATCACTCCTTACTTTTAACTAGTGATTTCTGTCTCACTGGAGCTTGTTTTTGGGTAAGTACATCTGAATTAAAGAGAAAAAAGCTAGATTTGAAAGACATCAGATATTGTCTACTGGAATTCTGTTTTTTCTTTACTCAGTTACAAATGCCTACTCTGAAAGTTTTAAATGAAGGGACTTCTTAAAGTGACAACATAAGAAAGTATCATTTTATGTTCACAATTAAGCATAATAATAAACATACTATAACATGCTTGGTTAGGAGGCAAGAATTAAACAGTATAACCTTAAAATGTGAAATGCTCCTGACATGTCATTATGAAATATTTCAGAACATAATCTTCTGAAATTTACTTCCATTAAAGTTTTGAGAAGTGGATTCAACAACATATCTGGCACAATGACCAAAAGCTACCTTATCATCTCATGAAATAGAAATGTGCTCTAAGTGCATTATCTAGTAAAGATTTCTTTTAAAACCATAAATGAGAAATATTTACATTCATTGATGTGGTGAAAGTGTTTAACAACCAATTCATGCAGCAAGCATATGGGAGATAATTTTTTAACATTTATCAATCTCCATGTTGTAAATGTAATACTTCAGAAATTTCTAACTACCCACATGAACATCACTAAGTATGGCTTTGCCAAGGAATGACCTGTAGTGCCATGTTACATGATTACATCACTCAGATACAATAAATGTAAGTAACCTCAAAACCACAAATAACAAAATGTAGTAAAATAATTAAGATAATTAATTTGAGTATTCTATACATTTAATTTTCAGCTATGACTGTGCTTCACAACTGGTTTACATAACTCCTGTAGTTTTAACATCTGACTTTTGTTTGTTAGTACAAGGCAGTTTCAGTACACCAGTGCTATTCTTTTAAATATTAACATTTGCAAAGTTTCACAAGGGATGAATATTTTGAAAGTGTTTAAATCCTTCCATAGGGATCCTTCCATAGGGAGAAAAGCTCACATTAAAATTTTAATTAAAAGTAAAGGATGCTGTACAGCAAGAGAAAGTGTAGAGTAGCATTGGATAACCAAAGGATCTATAGTGCAAGATTTTCACAGTGCTTATTTGTGGAAAGCCAGTTGAAGCTGGAAACTGACCACATGTGCAGGAGACCCAGCCAGCCTGGTCTGAGAACAAAGACCACCCAGGACAAGTCTCAAAAAGAAGGAACTCCAGGCTCCTAAAACGTCATGCCCTTAGGTTGCTGTACATATACATTACTAAGCAATGTGACATTAAGTTGCTAAATGTATAAATAAATGCCCTTGCAGTGAGAAGGCAGTTTCTTTTCTTCTATCCAAAGAGAAAGATCTCTACCTAACCCCAGCTTTCATCTCTTCTCTATTTTTTATCCCCTTGTAGTCCTACATGGGAACTTTAAGGGTCTTGCTGGTTGTACACATAGACACGTACACATGTACACACACACACACACACACACACACACACACACACACTTCTAGATTAAAGAAGTGAAGAGTGGTGAAGAGTGGTGTGAAGAGTCTCAACTTTAGGAGATCTTGAGGCACAAGATTTTCCTAAGATATTGGACTAGCAAATAAACCAACCTAAGGATTATCAGGAAAGTTTCAGATTTTAAACTTCACATAAATCATACTGGCTTTATTTCAACCATAAGTCAAAGTAAGTATCCAGTAAAGAAAATGTGGTATATTTGCACAATGGAGCACTATTCAGTCACATAGAAGAATGCAGACCTATTGTTTGCAGCATAATATATGGAAATGGAGGATGTTATGTGTAGTAAAATAAGCCATACATACAGAAAAACAAAGCTCTTATGAGAAAGCTTTAGTACAGTACTCATTACTTTGGGGAAGGGTGTGTGTGCATAATGGAGTATGGGGGAATGTTGATGGAAAAAGGATGCTGGGTTTAATTAGTTCATGCTTTATATGTGTATGCAAAACCATAATACTATGTACCAAATTTCATAAAGTCAGCTTATTCCCAGAGATAAAAAGAAGAAAAAATATATAAGGAAAGAAATTGTTGGAGTTAAGAAATTGTTGGAGTGCACGTAAACAGATAGAGGGAGTAAACTGTTTACCTGGGAGAAAGAGAAGAATCATGGCTGGAGAAATATAGAAAAAATATTTAGGGAACATATGGACCTCATTAACCCTTGTGACTGGATTTTAAGATAATACTATTCAGTATGGTTCCTAATCTCAGCCATTCAGTGATTAGGAAACATCCACTGAAAATCTCAAAAGTTGAGTGTAAATATTGTTATGTTATGATATTTCCAGGCTATGTGTTGAATGGAGAAATGAACTAGGGTGACTATGACTTCTGAATTCACTACATATAAGATGGGAATTATTACACACTCTGAAATACCTCTAAAACCAAATAATCTTACTATATCCTTTTTTTCCCACTGTATTTTAAAAGAATTCCTCCTGTCATTTCACAAAGATACACTTATGACCCAAGGAAAAGAATAAGTATGTTCATTTTTACTGGACAATTGCAGTCACTTTCCATTTCCCTATTTCTCAGAGTGTAACATCTTCCCCTATCCCAACCCATTCTTTTCAAGGAAGCTAAAGGTTACTTGAATAACAGACTGTCTCATCTTTGCCTCTGCTTAGAAAACTCCAGGACCAGGGCTTTTCCGGTGTCATGGCACCAAAATGCTCACCTCTAGCACATTGCGGAGAGGACCCTAGCTGGATGGCCTGTTTTCTGTGACCTCTTCAAACTACCTCCTGTATAAGAAAGACTCTAGGAGACCCTTAAACTGTGCAATGGGAGTGACTTCATGCTGGAGGCTAGAAGCAACTGAGTGGACTGACCAGGAGGGGAGGTGGCACAAAGAAATACAGTGCATGTCACAGCAGCTTGACTGATCCCCACGCTGCCGCCTCTGGTGTCTCTGAGCTGCGGGCGAGACCCATCACTGTGGGCCTGGCAGAGGCTGGAGAAGCAGAGTGACTCAGTGCCCACCAGTTGCCCCCAACCCTGCCCCACTGCCAATGGCACCACTGCCACCACTGCTACTGCCAATCCAGAAGGGAGGCGGCACAAAGCCCGCTGCCACCACTGCCACCTGGAGGGAAGGCAGCACAAAGAAATACAGTGCAGGCTACAGCAGCTTGACTGATCCAGAGGGGAGGGGCCAGCATAGACTGTCCCTGTTTGCAACTCACTAGCATATGGCAGTGTGAAGGGTCATCTAGCCAGCATGCTTCAGAAGAATTGTAACAAACAAAGAAAGAAACTGGGGCCTCCTGGAAGAAGCAAAAAAGATGGGAAGAGGAAGCAACAACAAAAAGTCCCCAGGTCCCAACCCTAAAACATGGACCCAGGACAGGTAAATACAAAGGAGAATGAGAACAGCAAACATGCAGACACTGGTGCAGACACAGCACCAGTGGACATAAACCGATATATTTGGGACCTCATGGATGAGTTGAAAAAGTGAAATATTTAGACCAATAAAGCAAGACATAAGAAGATTAATAAAAGAGATACTAAGCAGCCCTCAAGCAGACACAGAGAGAAGAAGGGAGGAACACAAACAAAGGAGAGGACCATTTGATGAAGAATATAAAAAAATATAGAACACATGAAGCAGATTCAAAGAGATCGCCAGGAAATTAAAATCTCTGTGGAAAGATGGCAAATCAGCTTGAAAGAAACTAAGGATAGATTATCCGAACTGGAGGACAATTTTGCATTGTGGGAGTATGAAAGGGAAAACTTTTCAAAAATAACAAGGAAGCAAGCAATAACAATACAAAGGCTAGAAGATGACAAAAGGACTTGACAATAAAGTACTTGACAATATGACAATATGTCAACATGTATGACTTGACAATAAAGAATGTGAATGAAGAAGCAGGGGTACAAACAAAGGAACTACAAAGGTTATTCACAGAAATAATTAAGGAAAACTTCCCAAACGTAGGAAAAGGAAATGATATTCAGATGTATGAGGCATAAAGAACTGCAGCCACCTACAACCAAAACAGAGCTACACCCAGGCATATAATAATCAAGATCCCAGAAATTCAATATAAGAACAGAATATTAAAAGCTATTTGAGGCAAGAAACAGATAACCTATAGAGGAAGGCCCATCAGAATAACAGCAGACTTCTCGACACAAACCATCAAGTCAAGAAGAGCCTGGAGTGAAATATTCCAAGCCATGAAAGAAAATAACCTCCATCCCAGATTGACATACCCTGCTAAACTATCTTTAGAAATTAATGGAGACATAAGATGATTCCAAAACAAAGAGGAACTTGGGAAATTTGCAACCACCAATCCAACTCTACAGAGAATACTGCAGGGCATTCTACAGAGAGAAAAGTACTAGGATTCCAGGAACAGTGGCAGAGAGGCCTCAATGCATGGAGCAGAAAACAGAATGAAGAAGATAAGCACACAACTGATGGCAAAAAAAGCATAACAGAAATGAGGCAGAGAAGATTTTATTCAAAACTGATATGATTGATAGTATCAAGTCTGAAAGTATAGGCAACTACACTGAAGATGACAAGACTCTTCAATACACATTCTGGTTTGATAACTGCTGGTTTTTGAAGTTCTATACTATAAACAAAGTTGTGCTTTTATTAATACTGCTATGCACTGATATATTCAATTATACTATGTCTGATGATATAGCCAGTTCTATTGGAGATAATAAGAGACAACACAGGAACCATGTTAGAACTCTTTTTGTACTATGTTTATTTCATTTCATGTGTTTATAGGAATATTTTTTGTTTTGCCTTGCTTTGATTTGTTTCTCCCTCCAATATAGAAAGGATAGAAATACATGTTAAGACTCATGTATGTGTAGAATCTATAAACAGTTTATGAGAACTGATCTTATGACACATGATGAAATGAACAGATACTTTGAAGAAAAAGAGACACTAAAAATACCCAGTGCTGATCCTGGAGTGTCATAGTGTGAAACCCAGCAATAGTATTATTCTTTGTTCAAAGCGATATTAGCCTGCTTGAGTTTATTCAATCTCAACACAATTGAAGATATGGATAACTGCATGTATGTTTAAGTGCATAGGATTGATAACCATATGTCTATGAACAGAACTGGTTGCAATCTTACTGTTTGAACCCCCACTTTATATGCTCCACTTTAGTATCTTGAATAACTATTTGTAAGAAGACAATCTGCAATCATCAACTGGTGATTTCCTACGGTTATTTTTTTCTTTGAAATTATGTATTATTTCTACCCATTTTCTGCTTTGTTTAGTCTTTCTTTAAATTAAATTTTTTTAAAAAAGACACTACATTACGCAGTGCTAATCACGGAGTGTCATGATGTGAAATCCAGCAATACTATTCTTTGTTCACAATGATTTTAACCTGCTTTAGTTTGTTTAATCTAAACATAAATGAAGATATGGGTAACTGCATGTATGTTTAAGTGTATAGTATTGACAACCATGTTACTAAGTTTTTGTTGGACAGTTCAACAGAACTGTTTGTGGTTTCACTGTTTGAATTCCCACTTTACATGTTCCATTTTTGTACTTTGAACAACTATTTGTAAAATGACAATATGTAAACATCAACTAGTGATTTCTTACTGTTTATTTTTTTCTCTGAATTTATGTATTATTTCTACCTATTTTCTATTTTATCTTTCCCACTGGGAGAATCAGACAACACACCCCTGTATGCCTGCCACCATTGTGGGAGTCCCAGCACAGACACACAGGCTGAGAGAAGGAGCAGCCCCACCAACACACACCTTTGACCACCAGTGTAGCTGCACAGATCTGGAGAAGCCTGCTCTATGCCCTGCTAACTCCCTTGGAACCTGAGGTCAGAGAAGCCCAGGTACCTGTCCCATTCTCCTACACCAGGGAAGGGCAGTGGAAGATTTTATCAAAATAAAATATTTTTTGTGTTAATTTTCACATAACAATTTCTTATTTATTCTGTTTCTGACATCATTTGTATGTTAGACTCCAGCCTAAATGCTAGGAATAAAGTGATGAATGCAATTCCTATCTGCATGCTTTTTATTTATTTTAAAGACAATAAAATGAAACAAAACAAAGCAGAACAAAACAAATCAGAACAGAATAATTCAAGCAACACAGGACTTCAAAACAAGATTACAGGAAATCAACAGTAGCTAACATAATTCTCTTGTTTTCTTCAAAATGGCTGTCTATACCTTCACACACAATAAATTCAAACAAAACAAAATAGTATAAAACCAATTAAAACAAAAGAACGAAAGCATTACAGGACTTCAAAATAAGATAACAAGAAATGAACAATAATTACTTATAATGTCTCATTTTCTTCAAAATAACCAGGAGCTATATTTTTTAAAACATTTTTTTAGGAAAAAAACTGAAATGGTTTTCAGACATTTGTATTTCTAAGAAAGCATTTTAATATTGGAAAATCTGATTTTAACTACATTATATAGAACATTGGTAGTGTTCTTACTGGTGAATTATAAAAAATATGTCTTAACTCTTTAGTGTTTCAACTCAATTATGCATTTATATTCTTTCCCAATGGTTACAGTCTCACTAAATTCAATTCTTTACCAATTTCTAGTGTTCTTTTTCTACTTTTAAAACTTTCTCCAGGACTTCAGGAATCCTTAGACACCAGGCAGTAGCACATTTCTTAACAGAACCCAGAAATAAATATGACATTACAGAAAGCAACAAACTGACAAAAATCAGAAGATATGCAGATATTCTGGCAACTTATTAGGTTTTTCAGACAAACTTAAAACAAAATTCCATTTACCTGTGCATAATGTTCTAACAGTTGCAGAATTGGGAATCACGCGGTGGGAATGGTGGCACTGATAATGATGGTGATGATGATGGTAGTGGTGACAGAAAGAAGAGCCTTCTTTCAGTTCATGATATATATCCAGTATTGTTTGATTGGTTTTTATGAGCTGGGTGAAATGTAAAGAATATCATGAAGCCTGCCTGGCTAATGTTAATGAGACTCACATTTCAGTGGTTCTGGGAAAGGAGTCACACAGGAATGACATCCCGATTTGGATGGATCATCTAAGAGTTACACCCAAGAAACAATTTTGGGGTAAATAGGAATAATCCTCTCTGGTAAAAATGTCATGATGCTGCTTGTTCCTTTTTATTGAAACTAGATGTAATCTGATAGAAGTTTTTGACAAATGATTTTCCATGAGGTTTCAATTCAATGTAATGCTGGTACTATTATATCATGTTAAAATATGAAATTCCATTTAATTATTCATAATATCTGCATTCCCCTCATTATCTGTGAGAACAATCATCCTTTCACATATTTGGGGGAACTTTGGGTTTCCACTTCTGAGAAATGCTTGTATATAAAGTACATGTTACTTTTTACTTAAGTATGATTATGATGATTTTTGTTTCATTCGTTTCCAAAAGTCTACAAAAATATAAAAGTTTTTATTTTTGAAAGAACTTTTGTTTCGGGGGCTGGGGATTTAGCTCAGTGGCATAAGCGCCTGCCTTGCAAGCATGTGGTCGTGAGTTCAATCCCTGGTACCAATTAAAAAAACAAAAAACAAAAAAACAAAAAAACAACTTTTGTTTCACTTTTCCAAAGTTCCAATAGAATTGAAGTAAGTTTGATAACCTGTAATCTTTCACATATTCTTGGATTCTTAACCTAATACTACCCTGCTTTTTTTTTTAAGTGAAACTTTATAAAGTTTAAGTACATTTTCCTTTTACCTATTTTCATATTTTTTTGTTCTTGCTATTTTACATGAAATTTGAAATGGAAGCTAATTAGTAAGCAGTATCTTCATCTTCCTTTCTGTATTACTTTACATGACTACCTCTAGGAATAAAAAAATTTATATTCTTTTTAAAATCTACTCGAGAGCAATATTATAGAATTTGGGATTATTGCTCACTTTTCAGCCGTGTTGTAACCCTGGCCTTGGTCCCCTGACTCTGAAGAGGGCTCTGGCTCTCTCTATGACCTCTAGGTATCAATATCTCCCGTGCAGGTCGGTGTATTCTGACAAATCCATAAGGACATAATTTCACTCCATCTCTTTGTGTGGACTGCTGTTCCTCTTCTTTTTGCTTGTTTTTGTTCACTCTCCAAGGCCTTCTTAGTATTGGTTTTTATATTTTTTCCAAATTTTATAACTCAACTCTAATAGTAGGGTTTGATATAAAACATTTTGTCATTACTGTAAATAAAACAGTACTTTAAAATTATAATTCAAAAGGTATTAACCTTTGTTTTTAAGGTTAGTGTTTTACATGTACTTATGTGTGGTCTAAGAATCTCTATTTTTTATGAGGACATTTTTCCATATTTTCTTGTCCAAATTTTAATGTGCATTTGTACTTAGAGCAAAAATTTGCATGAAATTGATTTTGTCTATATTATGAAGGAGAAGACATATTTCTTCAAGTAAATGTCAACTGACCTTGTATATCTTCCTAAAAAAAATCTATACAATTCTTTATCCACTTTATTGCAATGCAATTTGTTATAAATCAAATTCAGATCAAATGGAGGTCTATTTCTCATCTTCTTGCTGTTTCTTTGATATATTTGCTGTTTTGTGCCATATCACATTGTATTAATTATTGAAATTATAGAATTTCTTGATATCTGGTAATGTGAGTCCATATTTATTTTCCATTTTCACAGTTGCTTTGGATACTTTTATTCTGCTTTAGTTTCATATAAATTTTAGTATCTTCTAATCAATCTCCAAAAAGAAATTTCTAGAAGTGCATTTCAGTTGTATTGATTCTACATTAAATTAGAGGATGATTAGCTTCTTAAATTATTGATGCTTCAATTCATGGATTTGGTACATGCTTCTATTTATTTGGATTTTCATTATTTTCTTCTAGGTTTTATGTAAGTATCTGAGTAGCAGTCTTTACATTTATCTAGTCTCATTACAAATATTTAGTCTTATTATAAATAATATTATTCCTTAAGTTTAATGTTGTTTTGTCATCATATGGAAATAAAATTGAGTTTTGTACACTTAATAGTAACACAAAGCTCATATGATTAATTTTAATTTTTTTCTGCTGCCATATTCTTTTGAATTTTTAGTATACATCTATATCACTGTGTAATTTGTAAACAAGGAGTGTCATTACTTCCTTTTCATTTGCTTATTTTTGTTTTGTTCAAGCTGATTTATTCATTTATTATCAGTTGAATAGGATGATAATAGGCATTCTCTCATCTCCAATTTCAGGGAAAATCTTTCAGTAATTTCACTTTTTTTTTTTTTTTTTTTTTTTTTTTTTTGGTACTGGGAATTGAACTCACAACCTTGCACTTGCCAGGCTAGCATTTGTGCCACTAAGCTGATGTGTAGCCCTAAGTAATTTCACTATTAAGAGAGAGATTTGCTATCATTTTATCATATAAAAATTATTTTCATTTTGGCTAGTTGAGGTTTTACAATATAAAGAATTTGCATTTAATCAAATGCTATTTTGTGTTCATTGAAATATATTCTAAGTTTATTTTATCATTACTGTGACTGTAATTGATTTATACCTAAATATTAGAAGAATCTTGTGTTTCTGGAACAACTCTAACCGGATGGTAACTTAGGGCACACTTTATGTATAATCACTAGGATTTGTATGCTAATATTTTGTTTGGGATTTTAGCATCCATGCTTCTGGGAGACAGGACATAATCTTCTTGTCTTGTCTTTCTACTGAATCTTCTGCAGTAACTCTAACTCACAATATTATTTTCTGAGATAAATGTGCACATATCACATAACAAATAATTATTTATTGTTTCATATGTGCCATCATTATTTCCTCAAATGGACTATAAACTCCTGGGTGTGTGTTTTCCCTAATTTTCCATACATTCTACCTTCTCAATAAATATTTACAGGCAGATTATTCTCATAACATGGAACAGGAAGAAAGTTCCTTCTCCATTTATTTCAATATAGTCTTTAGTTGTCATTGGTATGATTTTATTTTTCATTTGTAATAATATTTTAAGTTCCTCTAGATAGAAAGCTAAAGGAGGCCCTTTTTGTTTAAGCTCACAGCAAAATTAAAGACTCACAGATTTCTAATAATCCTCCCTGGCCTTCCTCTGCATGGCCTCCCTGCTCCCTTCTCTTATCTGCATCCCCTGGCAGCCAGTTACCTTTTTGTTACTATTCAAATGATTAACCTAGATGCAAACAGTGTGTCCATGTCCACTGCTTACATCACAATTCACCCTGAGAGCCGTTTATTCTGTGGGTTTGGACAAACAGAATAGCATCATGCTGTGTGTCCTACAGAAGAGTCTTATCATCGCTAAAGTTAAAGAAAGCTTTTCCTTACACTGTTCCTTGGTGGACTCAATTCTTAAGCAGAACCTAGTTTGAAACATTAAAATCAGAAGCTCAGCTGTGCCAGCACAGTGCACCATGCTGTAGTGTGCCATGATCTGTGCCCACCAAGACTGGCGTTGAGAAGGAATTCCAAACCGCGGGGTCCGGGGTGCAGGACTGTGGGAGCTGAGCCCTGCCAGGTGGGGTTCTGCCTTTTCCACAGCAGCCCTCACATTTGCAGGAAGTGTGCTGTCATCAGGGAGTTTGGTGTCTTCTCTCATTTCTCCTTTGCATGTCTCTACTTGCCTTTCAGCTTTCACCCATGAATTGAAGCAGCAGAAGCTGATGCCTTTCCCAGAAGAAAGCAGAGGTGAACCATGCTCCTAGACGTCTCCACCTCTTTACCCATAGACTGAAATAAACCTCTATTCTTGTAAATAGCCCAACCTTATGACTTAGGAGGCATATCTTTCAGTCCAAGATGTTATTTAGCGAACTTAAAATGGAAACAACCCTATTCCCTGTATACAGAATGCACCAGTATTTAGGAAACTCTCAGAGGGTCAAATCAACCTCGTCAGTAGCCTCTTAGCAAGAGATGCATATGTATGAAACCCACGCATATGTGTGAAACTCAAGTGTTATGCAATTTGACTGCCTGTTTCCTATATATGTAGGTTATAACCCATTTCTAAATATTTCTGTTAAGTTCTGGGATAAAATACTGTTGAACTTCAGCAATTTTTATTTCTCAGGTTTTATGAGCTTTCCAAAAACGTTACCCAATATTATTTCTGCAGGGTTTGTTTTTTAAATGTTGCATTAAAAATAGCATTTGAGTGTTTGTATTTTTAAAGTAAATATTAGAATCATATTCTCCAGATTTACATCATGTGTACAGGCATATTTTCTTAGCTAATGTATGCTCTGATTTTTGGATTCATAGCACCACCTAAAGTCCTAAATAGATATTTCTCTGAATAAGGTCAGGGTAGAATTGACATAGTATACAGCATACTTTGTGTAGGCTGTGTCACAAAGTTTAAAAAATCAAAATACAACAAAAGTACTGCATTCATAAGACATGAGTGAGCATTACCACTTGCAGAAGTGTCTTTCTGGCTGAGTTCAGGTGAGGGTCTGTGATCCTCAGGAGAGGCTCATCCATCCCACGGCCCACCCTTCCACTTGCAGCCCCCACCACAGATCCTGTGGAGGCCAGCAAGACTCACCCCTCCACCCTTCATCCCTGCACACCGCTCGCCTGGGGAAACTCTAACCTTTAGCTCATGCCAGTTTCATTTTTAAATATGAACCGTCGTGCTTTCAGCAACTCACAATATCCTGCTGAGATGTTCCCTGAAAGTCACAGTAGGTTTCCTGGACTTCTTCGGTACTGAGTCAGTTCTCTGAACATACCTTCCCCCCTCATGTCTGCAAACTGGCTTTCTTGCTGTGCAACGCTCTCCTGAGGTCAGACTTCTTTCTGTGTCACCAGTTTTATTATTATTCCAATAAATGAATGAGTATCATCACTGCTACTTCAAGATCATTGTCTCTTGCTGCTGCCTAAAGTCACAGTAACTCTCTCTGCGTTACTGTGAATCCACGTGGCGGGGTGTATTTGCAGATTCATATGTACAGTGCAGTCGACTGCTGCCTGGTGTGGTGGTGCATGCCTGGAATCCCAGCCCCTAGGCTGAGGCAAGAGGATCACTGTGAGATCAACACCAGCCTAGGACACATTGTGGGTTGAAAATCAGGGCTACACAGCGAGACCGTTTCTCAAAAAAAAAAAAAAAAAAAGAGCAAATTGAGACTGGCCACCTCTGTATATCAGGTTCTAACCTCTGGGATTTATAAAAATAACTTTAAAATAAAAAGGGTCCCTCAGATATGATTAATTTAAGGATCTTTACATGCATGAGGGGATTAGTATTGATTATTCTGGATTACTCTAAATATGATCACAAGTATCTGTTTCGTTTGTGTTTTTTTTTCCCAGTGGAGTTGAGGGGAAACCTCGCACATGCTAGGCCAGCCCTACCACTGAAACGCACCCTGAGCCTCTCATGTCCTTGACTGTGCTGGTCCACTCTAATTCCAAGCACACATGTCCTTAGAAGAGAGTAGAGAAATATGAAATATAAAGAACAAACTAAAGACCAGAGGAAACAAGTTAAGAGTAACAGCCTAAGGAAGAGGACTGTCCATATATATGTATACTATAACTAGTGCAGCAAAAAATAAATTTTAAAAGTTAGATTTTTTTCCTTTACAGATAAACAACTCCAAACTTCCCCCTTCTGAGCACGTAATTGATACAGTGCCTCCTTCTCTCCTGAGCCACAAAACAGTGACAGAATGTAGGGATACTGGCCCCAGGAGACAGGAGTGCAGGTTCCTTTCCCTAAGAAGATGGTTAGAAAATCATCAGCTCTCTGTGTTTCCTTGTGTCTGTTCGTCTGAAAGACCCACATGCACATGGCAAGATGATTTCAGGCAAACGGACTCCTCCATCTCCTCACAGCTTCTTTGAATAAATCCTTTCTCCTTTTTTAAAAAAAATCAAAATACAGTATGTAGTTTCCTCTGATTTGGTCAGCAGCAGTGTTGGCGCTTCACAATAAACTGGGTTTGGGATTGCAGTTTGGCACTTGGTCTCTAAAAGGTTTGCCGTCACTGTGTTAGTGGATTGCCTGTGGTTCACAGCACCTTTGGGTTTGTTTGGCAAATTGAATGGCAAAGTTTTCTGTGAGTCAAGGAAGATGGCAGAGTGTTAAGCAACAATAAATCAACCTCTCTAAGACTGGAAAATAGTAACTTGGGGAAGAAAAGGAGACAGACAGATTCCTGAGAACTAGGAATTTTATTATTGGAGCCTACAAAGAAATTAAGATAGACCACAACACAGAGAATCCAAGGGGGTGACCTGCCCTTTCTCCTGAGCTCCTGGCTCCTGGCCATCAAGAAAAAAGCCAAATCTGCAGAGACACAGAGAAGGCAGAAGACCCCAGGAGCCCTCAGAGAGAACTACAGCACTGGGGTGGGACCAGCAGATGCTGCACCTGTACCCAGTCCCTCAGGGATGTTGACGGCCGTGTCTGTCTTAATGATAGAAGAGTTTTAAGGGGCAGCTGTGATTAAATAAAAGTCAAACGGCTGAAAAATTCTCAAAAAAGTATAAAAAGAAGTATTTGAGCCTTAGGATTTACTGACAGAAGGAAGATGGCCACATATTGAGTATGTCTCTGAATCTGCCAAAGGGAAATTTTTTCACAATCTAACAATACCTTGCAAAGTTTGAGAAATATTAGAATGCCCAGTTTTGCTTCTTGACCTGGACATTCCGACGGACTTACAAAACTACCACCATCCTTATTTTCTTCAGTTTCCACCCTTTGAACTTGTTTAAAACCAAACCCACTTTCTTTCAAGTGGAATTCCTTTTCAGCATAGCTTTAATACAATTGAGCATCTGAAAAAATACTTTTCCCAAGATCATAAAAGTGTCAGGACTGACTAGTTTTTTTCAAGGCTAGGTTTAAATTTAACAGGAAAATAAATACTGAACAATTATTATTAGATAAATTCTCACCAAGTACTCAATGCAGTCATTAGGCTTCTGACATGATGACACTTTTCCAGGAAGATGGGTGTGTGCTCAGAATTCTTAAATCAGCAAATACCAGTTGGTAACAATTGTTTCTGGGTATGAATCCTGAATCCTTTTCTGACCTAAGTTTCAGGTGATTTTTCACCTTCAACTCAGAGCTGCTCAGAGCAATATTATGAGTGGATTTTTTCCCTCCTTTATGTGTGAGCTATGAACTTTACTATCTTGAGAAGCTGGATTGTCAACCAAATTGACTTCCAGCCTTAACAATATACAGGGTCATGGCCACTGTGATCCTGTATCTCATCCCCATTCTCTCTTGTACCATGTAGCTATTATAGTATGAAAATTTACATCAGGACCAAACATGTGTGTGTGTGTGTGTGTGTGTGTGTGTGTGTGTGTTCTATCAAATAGCACCATGCATTTTAACATTAAAACATGAGTATCAATATTATAATATCAAAAAGAGTAGTAGCAATTCTTTGCAAAAAAATGAAAAAAAATCTCTTAGTTCATCACAAAGAATAGTTTGTGCTGTCATTGACTGATCACTTTTGTATCTAAATATTGTAACCTGAACTACTTCCAAGATAACAATGTACAATCCCAATTGTCAGGAATTGCCAAAGAATGAGACCAGTGGTTTTTGACATTTATTGAAAATTATGAGATCATTGGTACACACTTCATCACCAAGTGCCAGAATTTTTAAGAAATCAAATTCTGTGATTTAATTACTAATTTTGTATTAATGCTAATCTGTTCTCAATAATTACTCTATAGAAAATGTCTGCATTGGAAGAAATGGGGTGAGGAATGTAAAGGAATTCCTTTTCCTATTTTTGCAACTTTCTGTAAGGCTAAAACTAAATTCAAGGTTTTTAAAAAATGATACTTAAATATTTGAATGTCTCTTACTAAACCTTATCTCAGATATGAGAAAATAACTGAGGCTTTTGAATTACTCATGGTTTGTGTTTCATTTTTAGTTCTATTACAGTTTTCATCACAGCTCTAAGTTTGGATTAAAGTAGATTACTTCATTTCTAACATTCATTATGTAATCCTCTGATTCCAATTAATATATTCAGGATATAATTCCTTAGTCCAGTTTCATAGTTTAATTAATTAATCAATTTTTAGTACAAGGGATAGAACTCATGACCTCATACTTTCCAGATAGGCACTTAGGCCTCTGAGCTAAATCCCTAGTACTCATGGTTTCATTTAATGTGACCCCCCAAAAGGCTCACTTTACTGAAGATGTCTTTACCAGATGATGGTTTCAGGGGACATGAGGGTTTTTAACTCCCTGAAATGGATTGATCCACCAAGGGGCTCATAGCTCAGGGATTCATAATGAGATGGTGTCTAATTGGAAGAAGCAGGATAATGAATGTTGTAGGCAGGGGTTGTGAAAAGAACAATTACAATCAAGACAGAGAATTTATAATATTATTTTATAATGGTCACTCAGAAGTAAACAAAAAAAAAAGTGCAGGAAATTTGTCCACAACACTAAAGACCCAGAATATTCAGCCAAGGGTCTAGATCCTACAGCAATGTCCTGCATGAGTACAGTTGAAAATCTAGAGTTTATGACAGTGCTGCCCATGAGTCCAATTGGAGGTCTAGAGCCCATGACCAGAACTCATTCAAGTT